TTCCAAACTAAGGCCTATGTGCCATATCTGGCTACAACATTTTATCCGGCCCCCAGCTAGGGTCAATTTTCAAACTCCAAGGGAATCCAAAGCCAGGAAGAACCCATAAAATGCATTTTTTTTTGGTAAAATAAAACTGTATGTAATTTATTTCACATTAAGACTGTGGTCCATCCTTAGACAAACCACAATCCTATCACACACTGCAATGGGTGGCTCTGTCATTCGAAACACCAATGGGTTTTTGACCTCCTCTCCCTTCACAAAGTACACTTCCAATCCGAGAGCCCCTCAAAGAATTTAAGATCAGAACCCACAAGGCATCAAGAGTGACCACTTATATTCTGCATGGGGACATGGGTTTTCCCCACCTGCGGTCATAGAGGGCATGTCTTACCCTACAGGTATGACCATTTTTTTTAATTATTCTTCTAGAGTAGGGTTCCCCAAACTACAGCCCACGGGCCATATCCGGCCCACTAGGAAGAAGGGTCAGCCGCACACCAGTGGATAGATGAATATAGTGTATAATTATTGATCCATAGGACATACAAAACACCAGGACATGAATACAGGACCTGTTTACGTGTTTCACACGATCTCGTGCTGAATCAACATATCCAGCCCACTACAACATTTTATCCTGCCCGCAGCTAGTGTCAGTCATCACATGATCACATTCTGGGGAAATCCAAAGCCAGGAAGCACCCACTAAAATGAAATAAAGCTTTATGTCATTCATCATAAACTACAACTCTGGTCCATCCTTAGGCAAACCACAGTCCTATCACACACGCCTCTGTCACTCTAGACACACATGTTTTTTCTTAACTCCTCCTATCCAAGAAGCATGTTTCCCACCTGAGAGCTCCTCAGAGGATTCAGGATTGAAACCCTCCAAGGTTCTGACCACTTATATGCTGCATAGGGAGAAGGGTTTTCCATACATGCTATGACAGACCCAACCGGGACAGGGGATTTTGGAGGGGATTAGGGGCTAACCTTTTACTCTCATGGAGAGAGCAGATCATTCTCTAAAGATGGACAACAACGTGATGAAAGCATGGATTAAATCTCTGCATAAAGACAATAAATCTTCCCTTCTGGAGTGGATGGAAAGGTGTCATATTAATCTTGTACAGGTTAATGGTTAGATGAAATATGGTGGCCCTCCTGCAGACTGGGTTGGAGAAGCTCCTCTATTTGGGACAGAAATATTTATTAACAATCTCTCTCATGTAATGCATGAAGATAAATTAATTACACTTTTTCAGACTGTTGAAATATTGTGAGTTTTGTCTCATGATGGACAGATTGCACCGGTGGGGGCCAGGTACCTGAAAGGCAGCATGGACTGTCTCGGTGGGCTCCCTGATTAATCAGCTCAAAACAACCTTATGTTGAGGACTCCTGCTGTATTCTGTTTATTAACCCCTTTGCGCCTGCACCTCCCGGCCCTTTAAGAGTTTCAGAAGCCGGGAGGCGGGGTGGGGTTTTAGGGTCATGTGACTGCTGTAATTCACTGTCACGGCGGTCACATGATCGGAAAAGGTCTGGATCGCAAGGGGACATCGGGACCTTTCCGTGAGTCATGGACATATGTGCTGGGAGCGCGCAGGGCACGTGATCTCAACACATATGTATTTTCAAATGGTACGCAAATATGCAGGCGCTCAGCATCAAGGCCCAGGTCGTATATTTGTGTGCACTTGGCATCTAGGGGTTAAGGTGGGATGTGTTTGTTAATTGAGTTACATATTGTCTCTGTCCTCCTGGAGGCTCCTACATGATGGGATTAGTCTGCTGTCAACTTCACCTAGTTATCTAATCAGTGCTGGATGTTTATCCTAATGTATAATATTTGTTTTATAGTTCATATGGGGACTGCTCCTCGTTCTGAAGTGTATAAAAATCTGTGTTCCTGTTCAATAAAGTAGTTCCAGTTGCATCTTAGCTAGTGTCGTCTAGGCTTGGGTACAGTGTCCAGCTATAATACCTTGGTCCTGTGTCCCAGTGGTGAGGAAGCAGTTCTCTGATGGAATCACCCAATCGGGGTGACAAGCGGTCCATCACATCTGCGATCATAAAGGGTTTCAAGCTTTACCCTACGTGGGTGACCAAAACCTCACCAGGTGTAATGTTATTCTGTTTTTCTCTTTTATTTCCTATAAAATACCCATATAACACATGCACTACACTATTAGGGCTCCCTCACCTCTCCTCTTAATTTTCTGATGGGCACTTAGAACCATTCCATGTTTCCTCATTCTGCCTCTTTGGCTTGCCCTTCTTGAACTCCAGGCACCACCACCTCTTGCATCCTCATATCCTCAATGTACACAGATTAAAGAATCAGGTCAGTAGATCCCCCACCCCCATGTTGTTTTCATTATCCCTGATGAGAACCCTGATGTAACTGGGGCTTTAATGGAGACTCTGATGTAAGGGAGGAACTTACTCATTTATAAAAACGATTTTATTTGGCTCAGATATATTTATAAAATATACAATGTGGTACAATGTACTGAAAAGTTTGGAAATCCCAAATTTATGTTTATCAAATGAAATTTACTAGAAAAAGACATGATTTTAAAGGGGATGCAAAAATATATTAATGGGCTGCCAATGTACCAGTAGGGACCAGGGGCGGACTGACAACTCATGGGGCCCCTATGTCCTTGCCCAAACTCAAAAAAGCCTATGAAAAAGGTACCAGGGGCATCTCATGGGGCCCCCTACTGACCCCGATATTGATATGTGGCATCTTTTCCAATGCAGGACACCACAATGCACAGTAGTGTTGCAGTGTACTGTAATGCACGTATGTCAGAGGTCCATTTGGTTGGTGCACTAGGATACCATTCAAAATTAACGGCACCAAATGCATTGCCACACATAACAGACAGCTCTAGATGGGCCTTCAAAGTATATCCAAACCTAAAAACAAACTTTTTATTTTTTGCAGCTTACCAATCTTTAAAATACTATATATCTGAAGGCATTTAGTTTTAGATAGAGTGGAGAGAGATTAGAACCTTTGTCAAGTTTTTTTTTTTTTGCTGTCTGTGCCCCAGTAAGGAAAGTTCTCCCTGTCTCTTTTTCCTGTTTACCACTGTTAATGAGTGAAAATGAAGGAAAAAACCCAAATTTTGAGTTTTCACCAGAACAGGAATAGCACAAAAGCTCAGGTTGGGAGAGGGAGAAGCAGCACCAGGAGTCAATCAATTGTACTACAGTGCCCATGTGTTAATGAGGAATCTGTTGTTGAGTGCTGAGGTCTGGGTTCAATGCAGGCTACTCAAGTTCCTTCACACCAAACTGGTCAAACCATAGATTTATGGAGTTGGCTTTTCCAGCCTCCACTCTTTTACAGGCTTTTCACAAGATTGTGGAGGGTGTCTGTGGGAATTTGTGTCCATTCAGCCAAAAGATCATAAGTCAGGCCAGTTACTGAACTTGGATGAACAAATATGATTACCAAATGGCATTCCAATTTACCCAAAATGTGTTGAATGCCAGCACCTATGGAAGTGAGCTCTTGTTGATACTCAACTTGGGGTTCCCCAGGGTGCGGAGTCTAAGCCCCAGCCTGCTTCTTCACCAGAGCCCCTGATGGTGGGGATGGACTTGCAGCAAGCTGGGACCAGATCGCGACCCCCAGGTATGCCCAGCTGAGGTTGAGGAGACCGCTCACAGGAGCAGAGTATAATGGGAGGAGACAAACGGAATCCAATAGGCTAGCCGAGGTCAGGACAGGCAGAAAACAAGCAAGGTCAGAGAACGAAGCCGGGGTCGGTACACAAGTAGTCAATGTAGGCTTCAGGCAGTAGCAACACACAGGAGCTCCAACAACTAGGAAGTTGCTCAGGCAAAGTGGCCTAGTCTGAGCATGTCTTATATAGACAGGCAAACAAGGAGGCGGGCCAGGAAGTGATGGAAAAGAAGGAAATAAAACCCAGAGGACAGCAGACGACACCTATAGATGAGCACAGACAAACACATGAGAAAGGATCAGGAACAGGACTGCAGCAAGGAGGTAAGAACACAAGCAAGAAACTGCAGGCTAACTTATGACATTGAGGTTGGGGCTTTGTGAAGGCCACTCAAGCTCCTTTTCACCAAACTCATCAAATCATATCTTTATGGAGCTGGCTTTCTACACATGGGCACAGTCCTAGTGGAAACCAAAAAAGGGCCTTCAACAAACTGTTACCCCAAAGTTAAAACTACACAATTGTCTACAGCAGGGTTTCTCAACCAAGGTTTCTCCAGAGGTTGCTAGGGGTTCTTTGAGCATTGAAGAGTTTCTACCTCTCAGTAACCACTGTTATCAATCTTTTTAGCTTTGTGCAGTTTTCCACTGGTCAACAATGTAAGAGTGTCCTTCTCCCACTGACCGTTAATATGAAGGGTCCTTCTGCCCACCAATGCATGAAAACACTACACTGATTATCAATATAAGAAGACGCTTTTCCACTGACCATCAATGTCATTGGCACTGCAATTTTTACTGTTGATGTTTCTTTTCTGGCCATTATTATTATTTCTTCCATTTCATGATTGTTACTGAAGCTATTTTTTGTATAGAGTAGGGGAATGTTAAAAAAAACTACCTGCTCTGGATGTCAAATAAGTTACAGTATATACACTACATTCTGTATTCTTTTACAGCACGTACCAGGGGCGGATTGACCATTTAGAAACTCGGGCACTGCCCGAGGGCACGGGGTCGGTAGGGGGCCCCATGAGATGACCCTGGTACCTTTTTCATAGGCTTTTTTGAGTTTGGGCAAGGACACAGGGGCCCCATGATCCCCTATTGCCCGGGGGCCCCATGAGTTGTCAGTCCGCCCCTGGCACGTACTATTTTATTTACAACTTACTGTGCAAATATGCTGTGAGCTAGTGATGTAATCATTCAATAGGGGTTCTCGGAGACAAATTGTTTTAAGGGTTCCTCTGCATTAAAAAGGTTGAGAAAGACTCGTCTACAGTGTTTTTATGCAACAGACGTAACAGGACCAGGGGCGGACTGACCATTTGGAAACTCGGGCACTGCCTGAGGGCCCGGGGTCAGTAGGGGGCCCCATGAAATGCCCTTGGTACCTTTTTCATAGGCTTTTTTTAGTTTGGGCAAGGACACAGGGGCCCCATGATCCCCTATTTTCCAGGGGCCCCACGAGTTGTCAGTCCGCCCCTGAACAGGACCCTTCACTGGAAACACTTTAACTCAATTATTTGGAGGAGTATCCACACTGTGCTGCTCAAATTGTGTAGATGTTGCAGTAACAACACATAATATGTACTCACTGAAGATACATTACAATTTTAATAAAGTCTTTCTGGCACATATAAAGCTAGATCAGGAAATGATATAGAAATTGCTTTTATTTTAGCTGATAATCAGCAGTGGAAATCACAGGTTTTAACAACATTGATTTCAGGTTCTTTGCTGCATAGGGAAATCCGGATGAAGTTGAGCTTTCTGGACAGTGCAAATTACTATTCAAAACACTCACAGTGAATTTTACATTACAAAAATAACCTGTGCATCAACAGATTCTACCAGGGACCTGTTATTTTATTGAATTAGTAGACTGCTACATTTTAGAGCGTCCATTAAAAAAGGACTGCTACACTATAAATGCATGGACCTCCAGGGAAACCCGAACAATTTTAGGTCAGTGATCTAAATTTTAACAGCAAAGTATGAACAATCTTTGTAAAGTTCCTAGACATGGGGGAAGATTTACCAAAATTGGAGTACTCAGAAGCTGTGTATGGTAACTAATCAGTGTATAGCTTCAGCTTGTTCAATTAGGCTTTGACAATAAAACATGAAAGCTGATTGGTTTCTATGCAGAGCTGCACCAGAGTTTGCACCATGAAATTTTAGTAAATGTAGAAAAACAGACCTAGCATCCTATTCCAAAGATACTTTATTAAAATGCCAGGATTCCTTTCTCCGAGGAAGAGGGTTGCCCTCGAAACATGTCAGCCATCCCATTTTGGTTCCTGGATGACACCTGTCTGGCATCGGAGGGGCCACTGGGTCTTTTACACCACTGAGCAATCACTTGTTATACAAGCTTTTAAACACAGTTGTGAGCAGTTGTGTATTCAGGTTTTGTGCTGACCTAGGCAACACAAAAATTGTCTGGACAATTGTCAAAAAAATTGTCATGGACACCGATCAACATCACCCCTCCCTTCCCCCCTCCCATGGAGAGAACCTGATAATGCTGACAATGACTTACAACACCCTTGCCCCCCACCCGGGAAATCCTACCACTACCCCCTCCCCAGCAATAGAAAAAAAGACACTCATCTTTACAGCTCCCCTGGAACGAGAGTCAGGCTCTACATACACCATCAAGCAGTCCACAGCCTCTCTCGGATCCCACCTGGTTCCCATGACAAGTGTGTCACTTCTTTCACACCCCTTCTTCTGGGGGGAGGTGCTGCCCTCTGAAAACTGCCACCCTAGGCAAGTGCCTTGTTTGCCTTGTGGTAAATACGCCCCTGTTTGTGATTATAACTTATATCAGCTTTTTAATAAAAGTATCTTTGGGATAATGCACTGTACTGGTGCGCTCTGTTTTTTCTGCAGTATGCTTTGGACTACCCCAGTCATCAAAGAGATAAGCAAGGCCTTAATTTATCCATTGAATGACTTGATTACATCCACTTAGGAGAACAGTCTCTAGCCCACCATACCTATGCAGCAGAATTTGACTTTTTCACAAATTTCTGAATCTGAATTCAAGCAATAGTACACTGTGAAGACCGTGAAGCATGGTGGTGCAAGCATCATAATATGGGGATGTTTCTCATACTACGGTGTTGGGCCTATTTATCGCATACCAGGGATCATGGATCAGTTTGAATACATCAGAATACTTGAAGAGGTCATGCTGCCTTATGCTGAAGAGGAAATGCCCTTGAAATGGGTGTTCCAACAAGACAACGACCCCAAACACACCAGTAAACGTGCAACATCTTGGTTCCAGACCAACAAGATTGACATTATGGAGTGGTCAGCCCAATCCCCGGATCTTAATCCAATAGAAAACTTGTGGGGTGACATCAAAAATGCAGTTTCTGAGGCAAAACCAAGAAATAGAGAAGAACTGTGGAATGTGGTCCAATCATCCTGGGCTGGAATACCTGATCACAGGGGCCAGAAGTTGGGTGACTCCATGCAACACAGATGTACAGCAGTTCTCAGAAACAGTGCAACTACAACCAAATATTCATGAAGTCATTCAAAGGAAAGCAAAATCTTCAAACATTTCTCAGTTTATATAGTGAATGTTTGAGTTTGTAAAGAAGAATACAAACATTGCTATTTTTTTTGAACAGTTTAATATTCACTTTTCTTAAATTTTTTTAGAAGAACAACACAAATTTGATATATTTTTCTTCATGTTTCTATTTGGAATAGAATGTGTCGTGTTTCCAATGCATTTGTGTGTATGGAAATAAAAGCTATTAGAAGGATTTTGAGCTTTATTCACTTTTTTCAACACACTGCTATTATTTTGAACACAACTGTATGTCCACACCAGCCCTATAATACTCTCCCCCACCAATCTCTGCAATATAGCAAATCCTCAACCCAATAAATACCCAGTTGCATGCTCCCATCAGTTGCATGATCCTTCTCCAATAATCTTCTCCAGTACCATAAGGTGTTTCTGTTAAATGCAGCATTTTCTATTTGAACACAATATAAAAATATTGTTAGAATGCCAATCGCAACATGTGACAAGAACAGATTGAATTTAACCTGCTTTCCCTGAAATTCAAATGTGCTGTGATAGGAACTCCTAAATCTAAAGATAGCAACACAAAGCAGGTCAAATGCAGCCTCCAGACTGTCATTTACACTTCTCTATTGAAGTCAATAGAAATCTGTTTACCTGCTCTTCAAATACATATCAAAGAAGGGAAAATGACAGCTCACCTACAAGAGCCCTAATTCTGTCAATCCTGTACTGTAGGTCCTGTCCTCTCACTGGTAGCCATATCAGTCAACCAATAGGACCTACAGAACATTTCATGGCACTAGAGGTCAGGTCCAGGACAAGGAGTGGGCAGGAAGGGCAGATGCCCAGAGTGCAGCTGTAGGGGAGGGCACCCCTCACCACATGAAAGCTTCAGATCAGTGGCTAGCAACCAGGGGCCAGAGTTCACATCTGCTTTGACAGCTACTGCTGGCACACCATGCTCCAACATATCTGCTCTCCACCCCTTTCATCCAAGGCTGACACAAAAATATATAGTGCGTGTGTAACTACATTCTCACCACAAGAAAGCAAGTGATTCCCCATGCAGGGGCAGTGCACACTACATACCAACCATGGACGGTTGGAGCAAGGGGGTAAAATGGGCACAAGGTGGTATTGGCATGCATGCATGCATTAGAAAGGGGGTGAAGGTCTGCATCCTTGCCCTGGGTGCTAGACAAACTTGTACTGCTAGAGGGTATGCATATATTATCAGTTTCTGCTGTGGTGTGATGGTTTAAAGGTTCATTGTTGGGGGTAGGCAGAATTTAGAGACAGGAGGATAACAAGGGAAAAGTGGGTCCCATCAAGCCCCAACCCCACTGCCCTACACATCGATGGCCAGTGAAAAAAGTGCTTCTTACATTGATGGATAGTGGGAAAAATGCTCTTTATATTGGTGGTTAGTGGGAAGAATGCTTCTTACATTGTTGGTCAATGGATAGAATGCCCCTTACCTTGGTGGTCAGTGGGAAGAATGCCCATACATTGGTGTCAGAGGGAAGAATGCCCTATCATTGGTGTCAGCAGGAAGAATGCTCCTTACATTAGTGGTGAGTGAGAAGAATGCCCCTTACATTGGTGATCAGTGGGAAGAAAATGTTCCAGACATTAGTGGCCAGTATGAAGAATGCCCCTTACATTGGGGGTCAGTGGGTAGAATGCTCTTTACAATGGGGGTTAGAGGGAAGAATGCTCCTTATATTGGTGGTCAGTGAGAAGAATAGCCTCTTTACATTGGTGGTTAGTGGAAAGAATGTTCCATACATTGTTGGTCATTGGGAAGAATATACCTCTTTACATTGGTGGTCAGTGGGAAGAATGCTCCATACATTGTTGGTCAGTGGGAAGAATACCCTCTTTACATTGGGGGTCAGTGGGAAGAATGCTCCATACATTGTTGGTCATTGGGAAGAATACCCTCTTTACATTGGGGGTCAGTGGGAAGAATGCTCCATACATTGTTGGTCAGTGGGAAGAGCTGTCTGTTAATCTATGAGGATGCAGCGGCTATATGAACACAGCCGCAGGTCCTGATTTGATAGGTGTGCAGGTGTGGGTGAGTGGCTCCAAATGCACATGGTCAATGTTCAGAGGCCATACACATGCATCCACATGCCTGTCAAATGAGGACCTGAGGATGTGTTCATAGAGCTGCTGCATCCCCATAGCGTAGAATAGGCTGATTGCACACAACAATAGCCACATTTTTTAAAAACCATTGATTCACACTGTACATGCCCCACAGCACCCATGTGAATGAGCCCCAAGACCTCATTTACATACACAACGTTACTTATTAATTCAAAAAAGTTTTATCTTTTACATTTATCAGGAATTTTCTGTTATGTTCTGTTGTGTCTGCTAATAATGAATTTAGTATATTTTAATGAAAATATTGTTTTGATATGTTGGGTGGAAGGGGGGGGCGTCTGTCAGGTAGGCTGTACAGGGTCCTATGATTTCTAACAGCAGCCCAGCTAACATAATTACCTATATGAATGGGTGGACCTTAGGATGAATTTAATTGTTATATTTATACTATATACAGTTGCAAGAAAAAGTATGTGAACCCCTTGGGATTACGTGGAGTTTTGCATGAATTGGGCATAAAATGTGCTCTGAACGTCATCTAAGTCACAACAATAGAAGAACACAGTCTGCTGAACATAATACTACACAAACATTAGATGTTGCCATGGTTTAATTGCACATAACATGTAAACATTCACAGTGCAGGGAGGAAAAAGTATGTGAACCTTTGGACTTAATAACTGGTTGACCCTCCTTTGGCAGCAATAACCTCAACCAAACATTTCCTGTAGTTGCAGATCAGACCTGCACAACGATCTGGAGTAATTTTGGACCACTCCTCTTCACAAAACTGTTTCAGTGCAGCAATATTCTTGGGATGTCTGGTGTAAATCGCTCTCTTAAGGTCATGCCACAGCATTTCAATCGGGTTGAGGTCAGGACTCTGACTAGGCCACTCCAGAAGGTGTATTCTGTGCTGTTGCAGCCATTGTTTTGTTGAATTACTTGTATGCTTTGGGTCATTGTCCTGTTGCATCACCCATCCTCTGTGGAGCTTCAGTTGGCGGACAGATGGTCGTACGTTTTCCTGCAAAATGTCTTGATAAACTCTGGAATTCATTTTCCCATCAATGACAACAATCCGTCCAGGCCCTGAGGCAGCAAAGCAGCCCCAAACCATGATGCTCCCTCCGCCATGTTTTACAGTGGGGATGAGGTTTTGATGTTGGTGTGCTGTGCCTTTTTTTCTCCACACATAGTGTTGTGTGTTCTTCCCAAACAACTCAATCTTGGTTTCATCTGTCCACAGTATATTTTGCCAGTAGTGCTGTGGAACATCCAGGTGCTCTTTTGCAAACTTCAAACGTGCTGCAATATTCTTTTTGGACAGCAATGGCTTCCTCCGTGGTGTCCTCCCATGTACTCCATTCTTGTTTAATGTTTTCCTTATTGTAAATGTGTCAACAAAAATGTTAGCATGTCCCAGAGATTTCTGTAGGTCTTTAGCTGACACTCTGGATTCTTCTTTACCTCATGCAGCATTCTGCACTGTGCTCTTGCAGTCATTTTTACAGGACAACCACGCCTAGGGAGAGTAGCAACAGTGTAAACTTTCTCCATTTGTAGACAGTCTGTCTTACAGTGGACACCTGAACATCAAGGCTTTTGGAGATACTTTTGTAACCCTTTCCAGCTTCATGCAAGTCAATAATTCTTGATCGTAGGTCTTCTGAGAGCTCTTTTCTGCGAGGCATGGTTCACATCAGACAGTGCTTCTTGAAACCAGTAAACCCAAAACAGGTGTGTGTTTTTTAAGGGCAGGACAGCTGTCAGCAACACATCCAATATCATCACACTGATTGGAGTCAAGGTTGGCTCACTCCTGGCTCCAATTAGCTCTGGGAGAAGTCATCAAGCTAGAGCCTCACATACTTTTTCCTCCCTGCACTGTAAATGTTTACATGTTATGTGCAATTAAACCATGGCAACATCTAATGTTTGTGTAGTATTATGTTCAGCAGACTGTGTTCTTCTATTGTTGTGACTTAGATGACGTTCAGAGCACATTTTATGCCCAATTCATGCAAAACTCCACGTAATCCCAAGGGGTTCACATACTTTTTCTTGCAACTGTATACTGTAGAAGTCTATATTTTTTCATGTTCTAAGGGCTACAACCAAGGCTTTACAGATGGTGTTCATTAACCCCTTCCTGCCAACACCTCCCGGCCCTTTAAGAGTTTCAGACGCTGGGAAGTGGGGCGGGTGGGGCGTGGTTTAGGGATCATGTGACTGCCGTGACGCGGCGTCACGGCGGTCACATGATCAGGAAAGGTCCCGATCGAAAGAGCAGACCGGGACCTTTCCATGAGTACCGGACATGTGTGCTGCGAGAGCGCAGGGCGCACACTCTCAGCACATATGTTTTTTTTCTTACCTGAACACAAATGTGTGGCCGCCCGGCGTCTAAGCCCAGATGCCGGGAGGCCGCACATTTGTGTGCGGCCGGCGTAAAGGGGTTAAGTATGGGCTAACATATCTCCCATCTTAAATTGTGTGAGCCAAATGTTTCCTGTACAATGCATCTTTTAAAAGCATGTAAGAGTTTATTAAATGGTACTAAACACACACATTGTATAATTTAAATTGTCCCTTCTCTTTCTGTATGCGCATGATGGCACTATAATTATTTTAATTTAAAAAAAAAATCGAAGTACCTTTTTTTCTAATCTATATACAGCTGTCACATGACCCAGCTCTCTCCCTGCCTGTCTGAAGGGAAACAGTGGCCGGAGGAGCTTCTAGTCTTCTGCTGCTGGCCATATGTTCAAAAGAAAAAAGCCTTTGGGATACCATGTAAAAATAAATAATTAATATCAATAAACTGTTCAAATCATCATACAAAAATATACTTGAAATCAAATCTTTATCAGTTTTTGACAGTAACATGGTATGGGTGGAATTCTGTCTAAGATTATGTCACAGCCTGTGTGTTAGACTAACAGGGAGGTGAAACCTCCAAGAACCAGGATGTAATATCCCGCCCCCACTGTGTTTAGCTGCTTAGTGGACATGGAGGAGGAGGAGGCAGTGGGCTGTCATTTGCCACTATGCATACGCCCACGTGTGACTCTATAGTCACATGGGCTGCTCAGATGTGGTAGGGAGGAAATGCTCAGAGTAGAAAACACTGAAAACTGAGCATGTGCACTAGCTGCCAACACTGCTCTGCAAAATCCCCATCTGCACTGGGGACATGGACAGGAAGGGGAGACAGAGAACAGCAGGATCAACCAGGTTTTTTGCAGAATACAGAAAGTGAATCCCATAGTGACTGAGTGAGTATGAATAGCATGTAATACATAATTTATTGATGTTTTTTAAGGATGTGGGTTTAATGATACTTTATGAATGTTAGGAATGCAATATTTACAGCGTAATACTTCTCTCTTAAGACATTACTATAGGAAAGAGCATTGCATTATGTATACAGTATGTAAGATCAAACCGCGCAAATCCCCAATCAACTGAAGTCACAAAGCTGCAAGTATATAAGAGGATATTGTCTCTTAACCTCCTTGGCGGTATGATTATTTCAGATTTTTGGGTACCATTTTTTTTGCATGGAAATATGTATTTTTTTTATTGTAGGCCTGTAATTTAGAGTTAGGACCACAGATTTTGTCGTGGCTCTGTGCTAACGTATGTATTTGCAAATGTGAAAAACCCCTGTTATTTTTAGACAGGTTAATTCGGTTGTTAGCAAGCTGTGGCAATTTAGAACATAACTCCCTCTTTTTTCACTATGTGATGCCTGTTTATCTGTCCTTGCTTCATAAGCCAGTTATAGACTTGGGCGGGTGGCCACTTTTATGCACATCTGTAATTTAGGAATAACTCCCTGAAATCTGTCCGAACAAGAGTCTAGCAAACATCCCGGGTATGATAAAACTTGAAACACGAAATCATAAATTATAATTTAATAAATACTCATAAAAAAAATAATAATATAATAATAATAAATTTAATTCAATAATATAATCAAACCAAAAACACTGAAATTTGAAATATAGCGCCAAGTTCGCACATCGCTGAGCAAAGTCGCAAAATCGTTTTCAGTGTCTGATGACGAATTTCCCCCACAAATCATTATCACTCAATTCTGCAAGTGGTTCTGATTTACTATCGCTGTTCTCTAGCCGGTCTAAAACCGATTTTGACCTAAAGGGACGCTTTTTGGACGCCGTGGACTTTTCTAAGTTTCCAGGCAGAAAGAACAGTCAAAATGCAGGCAGGGCGCAGGACAAAGCAGAAGGGACAAAATGTATGTGAAATGCTTTGATACAGGAATGTTTTGCTATGAAATAATCGTTTTAAAAAAAAATGTCATTCTTTTTAAATTTTCAAATTTGCCACCGGTTCCGGCGCCCGTACGTCCCGACATCACAGGGACCGGAACGCGGAAAACAGGATGCCGGCATCGGCCGGAGGAGATGGCCGGGGACGCTGCAGGGGACGCATCGCGGGAGCGAAGGACAAGGTAAGCGCTGTAGGGAATCCCTGAGCAACGCTGCATGGTAAGCCCGAGTGTAGCTCGGGGTCACCGCTCTTGGTACTGAAATTTTACCCCGAGCTACACTCGGGAATACCGCCAGGGAGGCTAAAAGGCTAATTCAAATGGATACTGCGCTTAGTTTAACTATTACAGTCTTTTATTTTCAATTTTTGATCGCTTTTCAGAGGTGTGAAGGTCTTCACAAAGTTTTAAGGGTGCACCTAGCACAGTATCCATTTGAATTATGTATACAGTACATATTGTATACTGATATATATCATTTTATTTGATTCAGATGAAAGATAAACATGTAGGGTAAATTCCCTTCTCCCAATCTACTTTTGTCATGCAGTGCAAGTGAATCGTACTGAATTTTAGAAGCTCGTCGGCTTCTGGATTGGGGGAGGGTTCTTTATACATATGTTGCGTGTGTGGCACCAAGGATCCCAGAATCTTTGGTGTGGTGGAGGCTATTCTGTCTCCCACAAAAGACTTTGCAGCTCACAGTAAAGGCAGTTTCATAATGCAGTGCGGGTGCAGTGTAATGTGTACTGCGGTTTTAGCAGGGGCGGACTGACCATTTGGAAACTTGGACACTGCCAGTCAGTAGTGGGCCCCATGAGATGCCCCTGGTACTTTTTCATAGGCTTTTTTGAGTTTGGGCAAGAACACAGGGGCCCCATGATCCCCTATTGCCCGGGGGCCCATGAGTTGTCAGTCCGCCCCTGGGTTTTAGTATGGATTACCCACGGTTTCCCATAGACATCTTTTAGAGTGTACGTTTTTGGTGCATTTTCTGAAAGCACCAAAGATGCAGCATTCAGGAACATCCTAAGACAGACACACATGAAGACAAAAAAACACATATGCATACTTAGCAAAGAAACTTTATCTCAACAACGTAACTATACCTTTTTATATTGCTTTATATTCTGTATTATATTATTTATCCTTTAACCACTTGCCCTCCAGAGGATTTCCCCCCCTTCCTTACCAGGCCATTTTTTACGGTGCTGCATTACTTTAACTAACAAGTGCGCGGTCATGCAACACTGCATCCAAATTAAATTTACGTCCTTTTTTCCCATGAATTAAGCTTTCTTTAGGTGGTATTTGTGCGTTTTTTATTTTTTGTGCTATAAGCAAAAAAGGCTGACAATTTTGAGAAAAAAAAACAATATTTTGGACTTTTTGCTATTAACTTCTTGCCGACCGCGCATAGCCGAATGACGGCTTCACCGCGGCCGGCCAGTTCTGAGTGGACGTCATATGACGTCCTCCCAGAACGCGCTCTCCTGCGCGCCCCAGGGGGCGCGCACCCGGCGATCTCCGTGATCGCTGTGTCCTACGGACACAGCTGATCACGTGATGTGGTGAAAGGCCGATCCCACCGGCCTTTTACCACGTGATCAGCGGTGTCCAATGACACGCTGATCACAGGGAAATTGCAAGTGCCGGTTCTCGGCTGCACTTTCCTCACGCTGTCAGATCGTGAGGAAAGTACTGCCGAGAACCGGCAGTTGTCAGAGCGGGGATCGGCACCGATCATCAGGGCACTGATGATCAGTGCCCTGATGATCGGTGCCCAGCAGTGACACCCGCAAGTTCCGCCCAGCAGTGCGCCCACTAGCCCCGCCCACCCGTTCCCAGCAGTGCCCCCACCTGTGCCCAGCAGTGCCCCCACCTGTGCCCAGCAGTGCACCCACCTGTGCCACTCTGCAGTGCCACCTACCTGTGCCCAGAAGTGCCACCTACATGTGCCCAGCAGTGCCACCCACCTGTGCCCACCCACCTGTGCTCACCAGTGCCACCCACCTGTGCCCACCAGTGCCACCCACCTGTGCCCACCCACCAGTGCGGCCCACCAGTGCCACCCACCAGTGCAGCCCAGCAGTGCTGCCAGTCAGTGCCACCAGTCAGTGCCCAGGGTTTGTGCCAGTCAGTGCCGCCAGTCAGTGCCCAGAAGTGATGCCAGTCAGTGCCGTCTATCAGTACCCATCATCAGTGTCACCTATCAGTGCCGCCTATCAGTGCTGCATATCAGTGCCGCCTATCCGTGACCCCTAATTAGTGCTGTCTATCAGTGCCGCCTATCCGTGCCACCTCATTAGTACTGCCTATCAGTGCCCTTTAGTGCTGCCTATCAGTGCCCATCAGTGCCGCCTATCAGTGCCCATCAGTGCCACCTCATCAACGCAAATCAGTGAAGGAGAAAAAAATACCTGTTTGAAAAATTTTATAAAAGAAACAAATAAACTTTTTTTTTTTTTTCAAATTTTTTGCACTTTTTTTAATTTATAGCGCAAAAAGTAAAGCGCCCAGTGGCGATTAAATACCACCAAAAGAAAGCTCTATTTGTGAGAAAAAAATGATCAAAATTTCATATGGGTACAATGTTGCATGACCGCGCAATTGTCAATCAAAGTGCGGCAGCGCTGAAAGCTGAAAATTGGCCTGGTAAGGAAGGGGGTATAAGTGCCTGGTAGGCAAGTGGTTAAACATGTCCAGTTAAAAAATGTAAAAGATCAAATTTCATCATACATTTAGGCCAAAATGTATTCTTTCTTTGCTAAAAAAAAATCCCAATACGTGTAAATTAATTGGTTTACGTTAAAGTTATAACGTTTACAAAAGGCGGTATAGATAATGGGATTTTTTTTTTTCTACTAGTAATGGCGGCGATCAGTGACTTTTAGCGGGACTGCAGCGGACATTCTGACACTGGGGGGAGGGAACTAACTTGGTGTCACTAGCACCCCAGTGACACCAATACAGTGATCAGTGCTAAGAAAAAGCACTGACACTGTGCTAATGGCACTGGGTAGAAAGGGGTTAATGTGAGGGGCGATCAAAGGGTTAACTGTGTGCTGGGAGTGTTTTACTAAGAGGCAGGGTGTTCTTTACTGTAAGCAAACTGATCGGGATGGCTGTACTGTGCACAGCCATCCAGAGTAGCGTGCCTGAGCTGAGAGGGAGGAAGATGTTTGTAAACAAAACAATCTTCCTCCCCGTCGAAGATGCTCAGTAATCACCAGGCGCCGGCAGGTAATTACCGGCCAGGACCCGGTGATTGACATCCGCAACTGCGAATACCCAAAAGTGCAAAATGACGTATATATACATGATTCTGTGCACAGGTGCCGCGCTGTAGCATTATATCTGCTATAAGGCGGTCTTTAAGTGGTTAATCCTGTTTTCTTTTCTTTTTTTTACACAAAAATGGAAGAGCTTTTTAATCTGAGCACATCTAAGGTGTTTTTCTACAGGATTATGAGATACTGAAAGAATCATTTTTAGCAGAGCACCACAGCAGTGACATCATCATATCTCACTTCAAATATGATTAGACTATCAGTCAAATACAGCAGTGCCCTAGATGATCTTACACTGCAGGTATACAATTAACACTCTCACATACCAGGAGGTGTACTGCTATTTTTAAGGAGAAATTCAGGATGAAAAGTAAACTTTTCAGAGCATTGCTTAAAGCTGAACTCCAGGAATTCAGCTTCTTTGTAAAAAGTTAAAGCATACAAGTTAAGTCTAAGGAGGTGCATTCCACCTCCTGGACTTACACTATCTCTATTATTTACATATGAGAAGTTTATAGAACTCCTAGAAGACAGCTATGACTATAGTTCTGGAAGCCGAATGCTGGACCTTTTGGTCTCGGCATCTTCAACAGTAGAGATTCTCACCCCTCCCCTACCCTCTTCCTGCACAATCACAGAAGCCTTTGTATTATGTGAACTCATTCACAAAATACAAAGGTTTCTGTGAATGGGCAACAGAGGAAAGAGGTGGGCATAGCTGCTGAGAGTGCTTCTCTCCTCTCATAGTCCCAGCATCTCCTCATGGAGCTTAATGAACCTGTTAGATGTAAATATTTAAGATAAGTCCAGGAAGAGACATGCACCTCATCGGACGTAACTCACAGCGTGCCTGCACTTTTTACAAAGAGGCTGAAGCTATATTTAAGATAAGTCCAGGGGGGGGACATGCACCTCATTGGACTTAACTCACAGCATGCCTGCACTTTTTACAAAGAGGCTGAAGCTATATTTAAGATAAGTCCAGGAGGGGACATGCACCTCATCGGACGTAACTCACAGCGTGCCTGCACTTTTTACAAAGAGGCTGAAGCTATATTTAAGATAAGTCCAGGAGGGGACATGCACGTCATTGGACTTAAAGGACAGTGTGCCTGCATGTTTTACAAAGAGGCTGAAGCTTTAAGCACAATTAACTAATTCACTTTTTAAATTCAGGTCTACATTAAAAAAAACACATAATACACAAGCAAGTAGATCTATCAGAGACAGTCTAAAATACAAAAATAAACAATGACATTGGTGCTTTGCTTCCTGAAACCTTACTCAAAGGTAAAATCACACTTTAAATAGTTTATAACATGTCTGACATGCCACAAAAACCTTATGCTTCATAAATACGATTCCTGCTTGGAGCGTTCTACAAAGCTCCCCTAAAATCCCTGACACTCTGCCAGCTGACATGAAGGCCACAGGGAATTCTGGAAATTTTGTTGCAGAATTGCTAGTGCAGGAAAGAGCAGCCTGCAGTCCTGGACCCGCCCCGGGGGAACCAAGCTGAGCCTGAAACTATTTTGGCCATTTCACGGAGTCGCTCAAAGTGACATCTAATCACACTTGTGGGCAAAGTATTGGGATTCCTGATCGTGATAGAAAGTTGACATCTTGCAGAAAGTTCAATGTCACCTCTGAAAGGAAAACAGCTTTTTTTTCCTACCCTCTTGTTCTTGCTTTTCAAGAATAAGAATAGAATTACTAAAAGCAAATCCCAACTCATGTATCCAGTGGGGAGAGCAGGGTAGTGAGCGTAGTGTGTAAATAACATTATTTTCCTATGTGGCAGGGATTTAGTTCTGCTTGCCATAAGCCTCTGAATTCCAGGGCAAGTTTTGGAATCCTGTACAGTATATTCACATTTTTATAAATAATAAATAGAATTTTTTTTTTAAAAGCCCAATTTAATTTTGATGAAACATGAATTATCCAAATCAGTATTTCTCAACTTTTAACAGAGGGACCCCTAAAATTATTTTCAGAAAAATGGTGCAGGCTACTTTGCATATTGGCCACCTAGGGCTGTTCTATTTGACAAAATTTTTTTCAGTAATAAATGAAACAAATGATGATAATGACCAGACAATAAATGGAGACTGTGAAAATTGTAATGTTCCTTGACATGTGTGGTCAGTTAAGAATACATTGGTGGCCCATGGAGATGGACCCCTTTACATACAGGTAATCAGCAGGGGAGGGATCCCTTTACATTAGTGATCAGTGGGAAGAATATCCCTTACATTGGTGGTCAGTGTGAAGAATGCCCCTTATATTGGTGGTCTCTGGAGATGAACCTCCTACACATGTAATCAGCACGGCAGAGATCCCTTTACATTGGTGATCAGTGAGAAGAATACCCCTCACATTGGTGGACCATGAAGCTAGATCCCTTTACATAGGTGTAATGCAAGGCTGGACACAAAAACCAAGAGTAAGTCAAACATACAATACACATGTTTGTTTAGCCAGCTCTTACACAATTATTCTAAGCTTGTGAGAGAAATACTACCAAGTGTAAAGTCGCCCTGGCACATCATGCACTCAGCACCCCAAGAAATAACAGAATCTGACTGCAGTAT